AGCCCAAATTCGCGAGGTCTGATGTGACTTGACCACTGTTAACTTCCGTTTCCTCGAGCCCAGATTTTCCGTAAACAGTATTTGCAAGTTCTTATCGGTGCACGACTAAAATTTGCAAATTTCTATCGGTGCATGCAAAAAAATCTCGCTGAAGTTCTGGCTTGCCAGCACCTTTCCACCTGTTTATTTTATCTTTTTTACTCTTTGGCGGTGTATTCCTCCACCACTTGCACCATGTAGGGCATTGTGTAAATCATAAGTTGGTAATTATTTCTGATCATTTTCATCACCTCGTCCGGACGGAGGATATCGTAGCACTTGTAGAGCATGGTGGAGAACATGACGTAATTGGCCTTCTCACCAAACCAGCGAAGGAGGTCCTCTGCCAGCTCCGGCTGCTCCGACTCGACAGTGATTTCTATGGCCTCCAGGTAGCAGCCTTTTTCTTTGCACAGACCCAGCAACCGCCTCAATTCATCCCAGCGGTTGTTGCCCTTGTAGAGGTAGGCGGCAATACGGCGAAACTCGATCAGCTCGTGCTTCTCCAGGCGCTGCGCTAGGGCAATGGTGTCGAAGTTGTCGAAGGCGTCAATGGAGGCGCGCAGCGCGGTGAAGTCCTCCTCCTCGATGAAGAGGTCGTTCAGGGCCTCGTTGATTGCCTTATTGTTGGAGCTCTGCACCGAGCGCAGGTAGGTCTTGACGAAGGCGAGGTGGTTGCCCTGTAAACAAAGTGATAAAAGTTAACATCCTAAACAACTCAAATCAAATCAACTCACATTGGTAAAGAAGGTCACCGCTCGAGTGTGATCCATTCGCGGGGCGAGCACCAGCAGCAGGTCATTGAGAAGCAGCGGCTTGTAGTCGAGGTAGAACTGCACCGCCTCGTAGTACAGCTCCACATTGGCCACCTTAGTGATCATGTCCTTGAAGTGGCCCTCGCGCCAGGCCTCCGTCGGGTGGGTCATCATGGTGAGGATGGCATTGTCGAACTCCTCGTACTTGTTGTAGAAGAAGACCAGCTCCGCCCAGAGGTGGGCAGACTCGGCGGCGCGCAGCACCTTGGGAATGTTGACGCGGCTCCAGTTGAGCTCCAGGTGCTCGCGCATCTTCGAGGACTTGTACTTCGAGTAGAGGATGGCCAGCTCGGTGTACATGCCCATGTGGGCTCCTTCCAGGCCTAGTAAAAGGAGGAAAAATTAGGTTAGAAAATGGCAAACATAAACACAACACAAAACAACAACAGCAGCACAGCAACAGCACTTACCCAAGCTCGCCTCCAGCAGCTCAATCAGCTCCTCAAAGTACCCTCGACCCTGGTAGAAGTTAGTCAGGTCCTCCAGCTCATCGGCGTGCACCACAATGTTCAGACCGCACATCTGCGCCAGGCGAAACTCGCCGTGCTCCACACAGGCAAAGCACACCTCCTTCCAGGTACGGGTGCTGTTCGCCTGCCACGCCGAGTCGACCGCCCTCTGAAACTGCTCCAGGTGAGCGAGGGTAATCGCCAGGCGGCCATAGTTGGCGACATTGTCGTAGAGGATGCGCGCCGGCTCGTAGAGCCTGTCCTCAAAGCAGCGGTCGCCAATCTTGCTGATGTCCGCATGGTTCGGACTGCTGATAAACTCCTCCAGGTCCGTCAGGCGGTTCGTCTTCGCGTAGGCGTAGATCAGCTCCGACTCAATGTACGGCTCGCAGGCCTTCTTCCGCGCCATCTGCAGAAAGCGCACCAGGTCCTCCCAGCTGTTGGTGCGCTGGGCCGTGGCCACCACGTCCATGTACACGCCCGGCTCGTCGGCCTTGATGAAGGAGTCGATGGCCCCCTTCACCAGGTTCTCCGCCAGCTGCGCCTTAATTTTCACTTGTTCGTGTTATTTCTAATGAAGCTTGTGCCTGCAGATCTTCCGCCACTGCCGCGAGTGACCAATTTGGTGCTGACCTGGAAGTTTGACGAAGGCTGCGATTTCGGAGCGATCTTCCAGTCAAGCCGAGTCTTTCCCGCCCTTCGTCGGTTGACCATTGTTCCCTATCCTTGCGCCGAACCGTATTCCACTCACATGACTATGATCTGTCGACCATTCAGCAGGCACTGAAACCACTGAAGCTTTACCCACACGGTGCTTTTCACCACATTTCCATCAACTTCTGTAAGTGGATTTGTCAGGGTAAACGAATAGTGCTGACAGCTGAGGATTTGTAGAGGAATTGTTTGTCCCAAATCATGACATTGTTCCCTAGTATGACTGCTGCTGTTAAGTTATCACAAATAAAACAAAATGTCTAATCTAGTTTGCAGTGTTTCCACTGAGGATTTTAGTTTTAAATTTAAAAAATTTCTTGTTTTTTGTTACCTCTTTTTTGAAAAAAATGCAAACAAAAAGTTTTGCTGTAACACCAGGCAAAAATGGGGAAAAAGAATTTAAAATTCACAAATTCGCACTTTTTTCCCTAGTTCTAACCACACATCTAAAAATAGGCATTCAGTCTTTCTTTTTCCTAATGTCAAAAACACAATTTAAAAACTGCTTTTCTTTTTATCTTTTTAAACTGCGGCACCAGCCGTGGACATCGCAGGTAGAAGGTAGCTTCCAGCTGACCCAGCTCAGCACAGCAACTACAGCTTCGCTCCACCTGCCAAAATTTGCTGCTCGACACCTGAACGTAGGAGTTGCAGGTGCCGACGCAGGCCGCCGAGGGAACGGGCATTGGAATGCAGTCGGCATGCTCGAGGACGTGGACCACCGGTCGACGGTGACATTCGGCGGTCTTCCAGGACGGAGATGTTGAGAATGAAAGTGAGGGTGATGGAAGTTGAGAGTTTGAAGCTGTTCCTGGACCGAGGTTTACTTCGTCGGTGAGTATTCCACTGATCTCCAGCGACTGAAGTTGAAGTTGGTCTTGCTGAGGTGAGGCGGAGCCTTGCTGAGCTTGGGCGGTGTTTTTTAGCAGAGGATTGCTCAGAAGAGCTAGAAGAGTGAAACGCGGGAGGATGTTCAGTAGCAGCATTGTTTTTTCTCTCAAGTACAGAGTTCGAGGTTTTTTATTGAGAGAAAAGCTTGATGTTTTGCTGCTGTTGCTGCTGCTGCTGTGGTTGCTACCGTTCACGACCAAATCTGTGCGGCAAATGACTGCTCTGAACTTCGCCTGAACAATTCAATTTTTTTTGAGTTGATCAGGCCAACTCCTGAACCCCCACATTAATGAGCTGTTCTCATTGTTTTTGTGGTGCTTATTAACGAGCTTTAGTTTTTGTATTTGTTTCTCCCCGCATGACGCCCAACAAGGTTGAACACTGGAAGTGCATTAAAAAGAAAGAGCAAAAGTATTTTTTGTATTGAAGCAAAAAAAGAGAAAAAACACATCATAAAGCACTTCAAAAAACGTTTTACACAGTTTAGGTTTTAGTAAAATGTTTACAAAGGTGCTAGGGTGTCGCTTTGCACTACAAACTTTTGTTTCATTACTTAAGAAAAAAAGTTTAACTGGGCGTCAAGTTTTTCAAATTGGACATTCCGTTTTATTGGTTATACTTCAACAGCAGCAGTCATACGAGAACAACTCCTCTACAAATCCTCAACTGTCAGCACTATTCGTTTACCCTGACAAAACCGCTTACAGAAGTTGATGGAAATGTACTGAAGAGCACCGCGTGGGTAAAGCTTCAGTGGCTTCAGTGCCTGCTGAATGGTCGACAGATCATACTCATGTGGGTGGAGTGAAAAGAGCTTGGCGCAAGGATAGGGAACAATGATCAACTGGCGAAGGGCTGGAAAGACTCGGCTCGGTTGAAAGATCGCTCCGAAATCGCAACCGTCGTCTAACTCCCAGTTCAGCGTCAAATTGGTCACCCGCGGCAGTGGCGGAAGATCTGCAGGTACAAATTTCCTTGGACTCATCAAGTAGAGACTGAAGGTGGTCAATTTTGGAAAACTACTGGAAAGGGTGGTGAACAGTGGCAGCAGACTTTTTGGACCACGAGGTCTAAGATAGTTGTAAAGGTGAAGGTACTTGATGTTCGCTAGGTGGCAGAGTTTAAGCTGGTCATTAGGAAAGAAGCTGATTGCGTAAAGGTAGTCCACATGACTGATAACCACCTCATTCTTCCACAACTTTTCCGGTGTGGACTCTTCATTGTAATTGGAAAACGGCAAATGAGCAAGTCGAATCTTCAGGTGGCTATTTTCCGGAGCAAACTTCAGCAGTGAGTAGTGGAGAATGTCAGCGTGGTAGGGTGATTTGAAGCTGAAGGTGTGCAGACGGCGCAGAACAGGCAGGTACAGACTGCCCGGAGCGAGCATTTTATATCCCCGAAGGGAATTATTGCCCACACTGTCATTGTAGAAGAAGGACTGGTCAGTGTTGAGTAGCAAATGCCGCAGTTGAGGCATTTCGTAGTTGATGAGCGAGAGAAGACGATGGAAATTGGCAGAAATAACAGGCTGTTTTGCAGCCATTTGAAACATAATTTGATTTGGGCAAATACGTTTAAACTGAAAGTAAAGGGCAAAACTGGTCAACTGGCCAGCAAATGCCTCTACTGCAGACAACAACTCCGGTTGAAGAGGACTCGAGTGTAGGTCATTCACCTGAACGATGCTCAGTCGGCGAATGTTGGGCAGTTCGGTCTGCAGACGCTCTACAACATCAGCAGCAGTGTCAACTGAAGAACTGATGGAAAGCTGCAGAAGGTCGGGGGCTTCAGTGAGAAGTGTCCGCCTGTCCACCAGGCAAAAGGGTGACATCAATAGGCTGTGGTAAGCATTAGAGCTGTTTCCTCGGAGCAACGTCACCTCGGTGACCGCTCTTTGCACCAGTGGCTGCAGCCCTGCCCATCGACGGCAGACGAGGGGCACAGTGCGCAGGCGGTACGAGAGCGGAAGTTCGCTGAAGACCGCCAGCAGACAGTCATCGGAGAAGGTGGAGAAGTTCATGATGGGGTGATGGGGTGATGGTGATGGTAATGGGGTGATGGTAATGAGGTGATGGTAATGAGGTGAGGTGAGGTGGGAGAATAGTTTTCCAGCACACACACAAACCTAGAGAAGTGCAAATGAACGACTGACCAACACCACGCGACGATACTCTCTCTCTCTCTCCAGACACAGTGCGCACTGGAGAACACGGGAGGTCTCGGGAGAGAGAGCTGGCCAAAAATCAGTTGTCTTCCCTCGTAGAGGACCTCACTGAGCACTCCTTTGAGCACATACACTCACTCACATTTCAAACAGGTTTGCAGGTTTTTTATATGTTGTAGTTGGCCCCTATTTTGAGCCTTATCAGACACACACGTACACTATCGGCAATATCTTTCTAGGTGGGAAGATACAAATAACAAAAATAAAACGTGACAAAAAACATATTGTAGGAGCAGCAGCAGGAACCGCCTCCCACTGCCTGGTTCAGTTCGAAACCTTTGACATTTTTATTAATTAAACAAACCAACTAGTAAGCCCAAAATTTAAAAACCAAATTAGAATTTGATCAAAATTGGACTGGACATTCCGTTTTATTGGTGATTCGACAAAAAAAGCAGTCATACGGGAACAATTCCTCTACAAATCCTCAACTGTCAGCACTAGCCGTTTACCCTGACAAAACTCCTTACAGAAGTTGATGGAAATGAGCTGAAGAGCACCGCGTAGGTAAAACTTCAGTGGTTTCAGCGCCTGCTGAATGGTCGACAGATCATACTCATGTGCTTGGTAGGAATACGGTTCGGCGCAACGATCGGGAACAATGGTCAAATGGCGAAGGGCTGGAAAGACTCGGCTTGGTTGGAAGATCGCTCCAAAACCGCAACCGTCGTCAAGCTGCCAGTTCAGCGTCAAATTGGTCACTAGCGGCAGCGGCGGAAGATCTTCAGGCACAAGTTTCATTGGATTCATCAAATGAAGACTGAAGGTGGTCAGTTTTGGAAAGCTACTGGAAAGGATGGTGAACAGTGACAGCAGACTTTTTGAATCATGATCTATAAAGTAGTCGTATAGGTCAAGGTACTTGATGTTTGCTAGGTGGCAGAGTTTTTGCATGTCAGAAAGTGAGCAAGAGATTGCTAATAGGTAGTCCACATGACTGATAACCACCTCATTCTTCCACAGCTTCTTCAATGGGGACTCTTCACTACAAGTGAAAAACGGCAAATGAGCAAGTCGCACCTTTAGGTGGTTATTTTCCGAAACAAACTTCAGCAGTGAGTAGTAGAGAATGTCAGCGTGGTAGGGTGATTTAAAGCTGAAGGTGTGCAGACGGCGCAGAACAGGCAGGTACAGACTGCCCGGGGCGGGAATTTTATATCCCCATTCGGAAATATCGAGCCCATCATTGAAAAAGAAGGACTGGTCAGTGTTGAGTAGCAAATGCCGCAGTTGAGGCATTTCGTAGTTGATGAGCGAGAGAAATCGATGGAAACTGGCAGAAATAACAGCCATATCCAATTCTGATTCATAGAAACTGCCCTTAATCTGAAAGTAAAGGGCAAAACTGGTCAGCTGGCCAGCGAATGCCTCCACTGCAGACAATAGTTCCGGTTGAAAAGCACTCGAGGGTTGGTTCACTTGAACGATGCTCAGTCGGCGAATGTTGGGCAGTTCGGTCTGCAGACGGTCTACAACATCAGCAGCAGTGTCAGTTGAGGTGGAAAGCTGCAGAAAGTCGGGGGCTTCAGTGACGAGTGTCCGCTTGTCCACTAGGCGAAAAGGTGACATCAAACGTTCACTGTGGTCAGCCTCTAAGCTGTCTCTTCCGAGCAGCGTCACCTCGGTGACCGCTCTTCGCACCAGTGGCTGCAACCCTGTCCATCGACGGCAGACGAGGGGCACAGTGCGCAGGCGGTACGAGAGCGGAAGTTCGCTGAAGACCGCCAGCAGACAGTCATCGGGGAAGGAGGAGAAGTTCATGATGGGGTAATGGGGTGATGGGGTAATGGTGATGGTAATGAGGTGAGGTGAGGTGAGAGAATAGTTTTNCTCTAAGCTGTCTCTTCCGAGCAGCGTCACCTCGGTGACCGCTCTTCGCACCAGTGGCTGCAACCCTGTCCATCGACGGCAGACGAGGGGCACAGTGCGCAGGCGGTACGAGAGCGGAAGTTCGCTGAAGACCGCCAGCAGACAGTCATCGGGGAAGGAGGAGAAGTTCATGATGGGGTAATGGGGTGATGGGGTAATGGTGATGGTAATGAGGTGAGGTGAGGTGAGAGAATAGTTTTCCAGCACACACACAAACCTAGAGAAGTGCAAATGAACAACTGACCAACACCACGCGATGATACTCTCTCTCTCTCTTTCTCTCCAGGCACAGTGCGCACTAGAGAACGCGGGAGGTCTCAAGAGAGAGAGAGAGAGAGAGAGAGAGAGAGAGAGAGAGAGAGAGAGAGAGAG